ATTAGTTGCAGGCATTGCAGAGGATAGATTTGTACCTGTACTTTTAGGTGGTATTTTTTATGGCATCGTTTATTTCCCCTACGTCGTGCAATCTCACAGCATGGAATTTCAATATATAATTGGGTAGACATGATTCAAACCTGCCTGGATCATTTCCTCGGTTGCAGAATGTAACCCTTGGTAGAATTTGTTGCATATTACGTGAAGAAGGTTCTGGAGGTGGTAGGAGGACGCATTGTCCAGAAGAGGTCGAAGCAAAAGTGCAACAGTGGGAGGAAACAACTAGTAAATAGATGTATCGCGTTGCGGAGTGTCTTCTCTTCCTACCAAAATAAGGAACTGAGCGTCACCCTCTACTAGCTGTCCAAGTTTGAAAGGCAATGAAAAAAATAAATAAAGTCAGAGATAAAAGTCAGAAATTCATTTCCACTGTCAAAGATCCAAGATCCTAGAAGTAAGAAGTTATCTCTGCTCTATGCACGTGAGTTCTCCTTTTGGCACTTTTCCTCGAAGTACTTTCCCCTTTCCGAGGAGCAAATCAAAGTTCATTGGATCTTGCAGAAGCCTCTGATTCTTGATTTGGAGGCAATCCATAGATAGCCATGGATTTATTCTATTATTATTAATATCGCAGTATTAAACATAAACAACTGTGGCAGAGTAGATATCCACGCCTTATTCTCTTTTCTAAGGCCACGCATGTAGATGTCAAATGCTCTGACGACTGCTACCACCTAATCCATCTACCTTCCTCATACGTGTCACTGTCGGAAGTCAAAGCTTGTTCAAATGCATGCGCGGTTTGGATTAACCTTTGGTGGTATTTTTGTGGTATAAACGTGACCTCAGCAACCTTTTCCGCAACATTTAGCAAAAAATATTTCTAATAACGCTTTTGCGTCAAATTTTTTGACTCTACTACGTCTTCTTTTGAATTGGCTTTCTGTATGCTCAGCAGATCTTTTATCGCCGCTAATCTTATATAGCTTTCAAAGTCTTCTTTTCGAGGTCTTTTGTAGGGATGCCTCTGCCTTCAAGAAACTATGTTACACCAAAGGTATTCCACCACTTGGCTGGTAGAACATGCTGCAGTCCATCGCTAGCAAGCACTCCCAAATCTGAGCCAAAAGAACTGCAGAATATAATTACAGATTTCACCAAATTTGGATATCAGTCAAGTACAGCCAAAACACCCATATCGAGGTTGAACGTGACAGTGTCCATGTTGCTGCATTGATGACAACGAGTGCACCGCAGTTCGCAACTGTGTCCATTTGAATAGGCCAGCGAATCCTTAAGGGGACTAATGCACCCACATCACATGCACGTTGCAAATCTTTTCAGTAAATCCGATTTCTTAAATCGACATGCTGATATTTAAATCCGATTACTCATAGACTCGGTCCATCCTGCCATTTTGACACTTTGCTCTCCACGGGCAAACTTCCTCTTCTGCCACTTCCTATCCTGCACTTACCCATCAACTGCTTCACCTACATCTTGTTACCGACTCATCAAAGTTGCTCCACCTGTTGTTCCTCATCCGTGTGGCTTGCTCATGTGCCTAAATTGGGAGTAAACTGTTGCGAGCATGCAAGAAATGTTATGTCAATCTGCAACGAAATCACAAACATACCACTAAACAATGGATCCGACGTGTGTTGGTCAGGTGGAGGCAAAATTGACGCTAGGGACGACCAGCTGTGTTCACTTTACTGACATTATGGTTTGCCATTTCCACCTCGACTGCCGACTACTATTAGACAAATTATAAACTAGTCACCAACAAACCAGTCCTATTTAGTAATGGCAGCATATCAACGTACCTCATTTGATCATCCTTAGTCAAAATATCATAAACCGTAGATTTCATTAATCACACATGTGTGAAAGTTACAGTGGTCACACATGCCGTACAACTGACTGGATAGTAAAATTTTCATTTTAAAACCAATGCTTTGACAATTTGTCGGAGTCGACTGAATTTTCAATGAAAGATGAAATTATTTTTAGCAGTCTAAAAATACCCAAAATAACATGTGCGTAAAAAAGGGAAACTGACCATTTACAGATAGGGCAACATGCATATGGATAACGTCTGCAAAAAAGGCGGATAAAAGTGAAGTAGCTCGTAAATTTCGAAAATTTGTGGCTTACCTGTTTTATGCAAACAATAGCACTGACTGTATTTTCTGAGTAGACACATAAAAATCAGCTTCTATCCCGTTTCCCACCCTACTAATGCCACTTAATAAGCGTAGTCTGATAAAGACGATATTTGACACAATTTGTTAAACCTGCTAGGACGGAAAGGCCAGATGTGTCCGGAATTAGGTGAGAGTGAAGTTGATTGTGTAATCCAGACTAATTACGCACAAAAATCGAGGACAGGTTGTGTCATTTACTCTTTCTTTTACCACACCTCATTCAGAATGTTATGGTATATTACGGTATGTATATGCGAAAGGAAGCGATCTACAGATGTACAGACATGGCGCACCTTTAAATCAAACTTGGTGGTTTAATCTTAAGCATTCTTCTATACCATACAGCAGGTTGTTGAACATTGGATGCGGCAAGGCAAAACCACCCTCACGATTGGAGTTACTCGGTTGGCCTCTAGGGGAGGAAACAGGTAACAATTATCTTCGCGAAGTCACAAACATTGTGTGTAAGGATTCGCTTGCTGTTGCTTCAAAAAAATTGTATTACATACAAAGGTATGCTCACAGTGCATTAAGTTATTATCTCACAAGGGAAAATTGTAGTAAAACTTCCGTTACTACATCTCCTCCTCCTACTTCTCACATGTGAATCCGAATGATCGTAAGAAAAGCGAATGGTTCTGTTTGCTACAGATGATATCTTACAATCAGGTATAGAATAAACGGCAGAGGGAGAACAATGCAACACTCGTAGATTACTTTCCTCCAATTTGTCCTGCCTTGCTTCCTTTCTTTCCCCATTCCCTCCCACCAGATTTCTTTTATTCTATAATTCTACTCCTTCCTCGCCGTTCCAGTCTGCAAGTGCTGCTTTGAATACGACGCATTAAATTGCACTTTAGTCTCACTTGGTATACGCCCTCCAACCTACCCACATTCTATCCTCTCTTCTTCCTTGTCCATACTTCTTATCTCCCTCCCATCATGTTCTTCCATACAAAGAGTCCTAAATTTTGCTTGTTTACATTCGCAGTTCCCCTAGATGCATCTGCATTTGGATCTGCGCCTTGATTTCCCCCACATTTTCCAACGAGATGCACAAGAGACATCTCTTTCAATCCTACTCCTAAGAGTCGTCTGCAAATGGTCAAGAATGGCCTATTCCGGTGACTGGGATTTCACTGTCAATTTACTATACAGATTAGCACTTTAAGGTTTTTTCCACTGCAGCATAAGTCGAAAGCTTTTCTCATTTCTGGCTTTATTCAAGTCAAGGCTGTGGAAGTTGGTCATTTTATCCGATTTCATCAGTTACAATCTCAGCACTCTACCACACAATCTACTACTTGAGCAATTTAGTAAAAAGCCGATTATCCAAACCAATATACTGCAAAATTGAGGTAATAGCAGTCTCGAATGCAGATTGTTATTAGAATTTCTATGCATGAGATGTAAATTTTAAGCTTTCTCTTGAAGCGCCAAGGGCAACGTCTACCTTTGCTAATTTCCAGCGGCTAGGTGCATGGGTTTGGATCTTGTCCAGTTCCCAATGGAAATAGCCAGGACACCAAAACTTTCATATTTATTTGCTGATGAGGTTGAGTTATCTAAGGAGTAGGGCATGTGCATACAGGATTGTGTTCTGACCACCCAGCACACAGAATTTTTGCAATCTGAGGTATTTTCAGCATTTTGATTAATCTTACCATCAATGTAAATATTGGTTTATTTAAAGTCTGCCCAACTTGATATTCTATGTTCACTAAAGCGGAAAAAGAGCGTGAATTGCGAAGGGAAGTCAAATAATGCACGGATCGGTCATGAAGTGGCAAAATTCTGACGAGTTAAAATATCGGTAGATTTTGCATTTGCAAGCATTCCAAACGGTTGACAGGAGATCTGCCTATCACATCTCCATCATTCTCCAACACCTTTTTCCCTTCTTCCCCTTCACTTTTATCTCTCACTTAAAAACTTACAGGGCAGCTCGTACTTTGCTATTTTTATGTTGTTGCTGCTGATGGTACAATCATCAGCAGTTCAATTAATAATGCAGTCAGTAAACGAAGTATCATAACTACTAGGCGGGGTAGTCCTCGCCCCTTAACCTATACCTAGGGTGGATTGATCTTTGGAATGAGCCGTCTGCAGACGCCTTGTAGAATGCCGCCACAACATTAATTTAAAGTCACTGACGAGATGACACGAAATGGCATGATTATAGATCATGACTACAAGCAGATTGATCGCCTTTCTGACCAGGGGGCTGACTCAGCGACCCGAAGAGGTCAAGGTCAGCCCCTGCGACTGCTAGCGACATATGGTGTGTCACGCTGTCATCTGCACAAACAAAACCAATTTCGACAACTTACTCATGTCAGTTGTTAGTTTGGCAACATTTTTTTGTAATGTCACGGAATATGTGAATATCATAGCACTCTGAACTTCTTATTGGCCTTCATTATTTTTCTATGAGAGAGTGCTTTGATCTGTTCAATCAACTCGGATGTCGTTCCAACAATGTCATATTAATTGACATTTTTTGCTGTTACGTACAGATGGCAGTTGACCAGTGGAATTGTCATTCCCTTCCAGAAGCAAGAAAGCAATCGCTCATTTCCAAGTGTTTTAATAATTTACCCAAGGTAGATAGAAGCAACCCATCTATTTTAAGGGACGCAATACTCACATCAAAATTTTTTTGGAAACCTAGATGAAAAATGAAAAGTCCACGGTACTAAAATCCTCACACATCTCTCAAAACCACAACGGAATGTGGCCAAACTGACAGTTGATAGGAGCATGTTGGCATCACTTGTGGCAGCGGAAGACGTACTATGTCGCCAACTGTCTCGCGGACTGAGCATGACCTCTTGAGATCGTTGAGTCAGCTTGTAGGTCAGAGAAGTAATCAGCTGTCTCGTAGACTTGAGCAAGCATTGATACCGTATCAGGTCTTGATGACCAAAATAGCCAACATACGCCTAGAAGTAGTCTAGAACAAACCACAGTTTGATTACTTTATAGAGGAAATTTTATATTTTTCGATAAATAAACTTGATCAAATACCTACCAAGGAATAGCACTTTAATGTGGAAGTTGCTGATGATACTACTGCAATGTTGGCAGTAGAAAGTGGGGACAAACAAACCTTGAAGGGGAGGTGAACCACGTAGAAGTTGTTGTTGTTGCTGGTCTAACTGGTCGCATCTACGCGTCGAGTAGCAAGAAATATGAAAGAAGACGGAGGAGGTGAAGAGGGTCAAGCTTATATATTTACCAGTGTTGGAGAAAAAGCTGACTGTTATGCATGCAGCTGGTAGGTAGCAGTTTTGAGTGTTTTGTTTAACAGTTGAGATATTTGCATGTACCGTGGCTGTGTGAGTGATTGTGCAATGGCCTGGTCCTAGGAAGATTGGCTACTAGGAACCGCCGTGCGTCTCCGTGCCCTTCGGCGAGGTAGGCAAATACCATCTTTCATCGCTGCTTTCGAGGCTGCTTCTGCATCGGCAGCCGCGGTAGCAGTGGCGGTATCGACTGCAGCGACAGCAACAGATGCGGCAGTATCGGGATTGACGTCACTAAACCGCATATACTTTGAGAAGTGCTGTGCAATTTGCTCAGGATTGCCTCTTTTTCGATATCGAGTAGCAAGAGAATGCGGTAGACGAGGAGGTATGTGAGGAGGTGGAGGAAGTTGAGGAGATTGAGTGATGGGAGGAGGAGGAGGAGGAGAAGTAAACGATAGAACGTTCATTATTCTAATGCTTGACCCAGAAACGGCAGGAATGTTGGCATTGCTTATTTTAATGTTGACGGTCGAATGCTTGTAGAACGAGGGAGGTGATTTGTAGTTGGCAGTTGTGCAGACTGATACTGATTGCACAGGGGTAACCGCAGGAGAGCGAGTAGGCATTAGCGATGATGAGGATGGAATGCCCGCCTTCCGAAGAGCTTGTGCTATAATGTCGTCATCATCATCGCCATCGACATCACTCTTCTCCTCAACTGATTTGCCAGGCACTGTAGAGGATTCTTGACGGGTCGGTTCTTTCACTGGTGCCCAACGCATGTTCTTTTTCACCATTAGCTCCTGAAGAGCTACTTTGGAATTTGTAGTCTGACTCGTCTTTTCCATGTAATCCCAATGTCGAGTAGAATTTGAAATAGCAAAATGAGACGTGAAAAAAGCAGCAGATGCTCTTTATTTAGAAGGGACGGAGAAGCAAAATGCGGCTGAACAAGTTGAAAAATAACTGCCACCTTAGCGTGTAGATCTCGAGCTGACTTGTACTGACATCCGATCAATTCCACATAGATGATTGGTCCATGTGAACAGATGTCCAATAACCCTTTTAACCAGTCACGTTCGAGTACTCACACCCACCAATCACCTTGTCCCCCACCTTCAACCAATCACCTGATTTTCTCCAATTTTAGACCATGACATGTTTTAACGCCGTAAATATCCGAACACATCTCATCCTTGCTTTCCTTTACCCACTTTTACCTCTCACACTGGTTCATTCTTGTGATCCTACATCAGAGTGGTACTTCTTGGTGGGTGATTTGTAGAAGAAAGTAAGATTTTCCCTAAAATCATCAGGTTGTATTTTGTCTTAGAACACTCTGGTAAGCTATTGCCCGTTTCGATCATCTGGACCTGGTACGGAGTCAATGATTGCTCATGTCTACAAGACGAGACGCCGACTCAACAACCTCAGGGATCGGGGACTGTTCGAGAGACGGCTGTCGACATGCGATGTCTCAAGCTATCATTTGGAAAAATAACACTATATTTTACAACTTACTCATATTAGCTGCTTTTTGGATACATTTTTTGTACTCCTACGTAATATGCAGCGATTATAGCACCCTGGACTTTTCATTTGTTTTTGCAATTTTTACGACAGGAACACAGACTGATTTTTTGGTTTGGCCAGCCAACTCAAACGTGGTTCCAAAAATAGTTCTAAGGAAATGGGGAAATGGCGGCCGTTTGGCTTTTACACACTGCTGTCCATTGATCAGTCAATTGTCAAATTCCAATCAGAAATAAGAAATTAATCGCAACTGCTTCTTCTAAGCCTCCTGCCTGTTTTCAGTAATTTTTCTTGCTGTTTATGAACAAAGACTTCTTCAATTGGATACTTTATTAAGTTGTTCTCTTCATTTGAAATGCCGACTATCCAATTTAATCCAAATTTTGGCTACCAAATTATTGCGAAGACAGAAAACTTTTTAGAAGAAGAAGCCGGATTGTATTTGACAGTATTTGTAAATTTTAACGCCCAACTTCTAAAATGTTCTTTTAGGAATAGAAATAGGTTAAGGTGACTTGGTTTCGTGATACAAAACAATGTTATAGAATGAACTGCTAGCCTTTCTCAATAAAACCTTCTTTAACTCAGTCCTACACTCATTCGTCTTAATAGTCACCGTAATAACTGCTCGAAATCAAGAATGTACGTGGCAGCCTGCATTCGCCGTTTTTACGGAGAAATGTGTTTCGCCTGCAGTTGCATCAAACGACGGGTTAGAGGGGGTTCAGCGGAGCCCTTTCCGCTCTCAGTGAATGTTCACAGGACTGAGTGACTGTGCACGCGTTGTGATCAAAACCATCGACATTCCATTTGCTTGCTGTATATCTGTTTATCGGCTCGTACATTTATTAATATATTTCTTTATTCCTTTACACGACCGACTGCAGCAAAATACAAGCTATAAATTCTTGGTCAGCTTCCTGTCCTAAAACAATTTATCTCCTCAGTTTCTGTTGTTGTACAGCGAAGCGTAACAGTGATTGGTGCAAGATAGACCTTAAAAACACGATGTTTCTAACTAGACAGTGAGGATGGGATGGAGGGGTCTGTAAACAGCGACAACATGGGCTCACTAGGAGTAGGAGGAGTATGACCTGCACACGCGCAACCATAGGTCAAATAAGCAAAATTTTAGGATGGTTACCGTTTTCCCATGCACTTGCACCAGTTTAAACTACCTCAACCTTGCTCTGCTTGGCACTGCATATGCATTGCACCTCCACTACATAGTGGTGTATGTGAAATGTTTATGTTACTGTTGTCTCCAGTACACGCTTATATTCAGCTGGCAAATCACTTTCAACTGCCATCTTCCTCAAGCATGGGTGACAAAATTGGATTCATTTAACCATGGATGCCATAGACCCTCTATTCCACTGTTGTCACCATCTCGATCTACACAATAATGCTGTTGTGAGAGTCATCAGGTCACACGAACGCCCATTCTACTTCTGATGCTGGTGATGCCATCTCCACCAACAGCTGTTTTGCTGCAGTTCCACTTGGCCTAAAGACTGGACTTCAAAGGCCTCGTCCAGTGCCACCCTCCCAGACGTAGGAAATAAACAACACGTTCCCACTTGAAGCAAAAGTGCTCTTCAATTAGAAATTAATAGCGGGTGCTCATCCAACGCCATTTCTCAAGTCTCAGTGGAAATTTCATAACTCACCTCTGCCAAAATTTCCCATAGCTACAGCCGTCAATCTTTTAGTAATTTTAGAATCTTTAAAATAATCTATGTGATTATTTGGGAAAGACGTAAAAGTAATATTGTGCCAAGGATGTGAATGATGTCAGAAATCACAGATTATGCGACCATTCTCCAGTGTCCATCCATGCTACTGAAATCTCCTCCAAAGAGACGCCTTGCATGACGAAACAGATGCATTATTTTTATCACCCTCTGCAATGCAGAGTTTGCCGTCTTCTAAGAAGGTTGAGGGGCTACGAGTGTGATCCATGGGTCAGGCCAACAAAACGTAAATCCAGCTTGCGAGAGCTGAGGAGACGGTGCATTTAATCGTACTATCCAATGGACCTCAAATTGCCACGTCGTTATGATAAACCAAGTCTCTACATGAAAACACGCACCATGCGTTCACAACAGAATTTACTTACGTTTCCCCCAACTCTGGAGAACGTACAAATGCTGATACGCCTGATCAATGAGATGAAATGGAAGTTTTCGACATGCTAACCCAACCAATTTGGAATTGATATTCAAAAGGGCATGTCAATGTATACGTACGCCTGCGATGGCGTTGTACTCCACAACATTTGTCGCACCTCAGACGCACTGCCTCTTTCGAGGCCATCACACTACTCAGCCAATGAAGGACTTATTGGCGATAATGGACAAGTGCAGAGGAAGGAGCGTTGGATTTCAACAGGCAAACATAGTGGTCTGCGTGGTGTACATAAGGATGAGAGGCACAGCTACCACGAGTAGGCCTAAGTAAAACCAATGTTTGACAGCTAATATAGTTGTCAGTTGCGGCAGCTTTGTTTAAAGGATCAAGTGTATAAAAACACTCGTTGTCGCGCGTGTGTGGTGTAGCGGTTAGCATGGCTGCCTTCCAAGCAGTCGATCCGGGTTCGACTCCCGGCACACGCAGCCGCCCTCTTTAGCAATTTCTTCGAGCGGCGTTTTTTGCCCGCTTTTCAATAAAAATTCTTCGCATTATTTTCACATTTACGGTGATTTAAAGCGAATTTTGTTGAGGGGTTTTGTTTGTATGTACTACTATCATAAATAAGTAGCAAGCAGTCGATCCGGGTTCGACTCCAGGCACACGCAGGAGTTCTTCCCTATTCACACTTCTCGTCACTTTACACATCTTGACCACTTCTTCGCAAAAGGAAACCACACTCGATTAATCATTTTGCAAGATATTTAGGAATTTGGGGTTGATTGTAATGACTTTTAGAAAAAGCACACTTTAAGTAAGCCGCATCCAATGCAATTTATCCAAATTAAAAAACAAACGAGGTAAATAAATAGATAAATTATACTCTTAAGAACGGAATAAAATTACAGGTCCAAAACAAGACTGATCAAGTAAGGCATTAGCAAAATAAAGGTGTTATAAATTAAAAGTAGAATTTGAACGAATTTGTTCGTAGAATGTAAAATTTAGTTGATTGTATTCATTCAGTGCAAAGTAATAAGCTTGATTGTTTACTTTACAATACTAAAACGACAGCATTCATTGATGCTAACATTTTTGTTTTATCAGTACGAAAATAGCCTCTATCATCTATTTACATGGAGTCGTTGTTCCATGGTTTCTCAGAAAAAAAGTTTCAAGTTTTTCAGAACCGCTTTTTATTTATGAAATTACACAATCCCATTCCTCGCTTTCAACCTGGCATGTCCATGCTGCTAACGATGAAACGTTCTAAATTTTCCTAGGTTTCAGTATATTACTTATATGTAATTAGTACACACCTTAATACCTTTTCTCCTGAAAAAAGAAGCTAGCTAAATGTCATCTTTGTGGTAAATCACATTCCGCTTTAAGCTGTTTAGCAGTCACTTGTTTGTAGTTCACTAACACTCACAGAAAGTATTATTTATGATGCGTAACGATATTGCCCCCTATTTGATCAGCATTTTTACTGAGGGAGAGTTTGGCATTACCATGTTCTGGAAGGTAACGTGGTCTTATTCACTTTCGCAATTATCATCTTCTTCCCATTTCTTATAAAATTAAATGCAATTTTTGTGCATTTATTTCCATCCCTCTGTGACATTTTCCCACCCAGAAAACCACTGCCATGGCGACAGGGCGAGAAAAGGTTTTTCACATTGCGGCACTTCGAAATATCCATGTTGTGGCCATCCTTGAGGGCAAATGAGTGAGTACTCCTTCGATTTTGCATTCCTGGACGTTTTTTTAAATTATGTTTTATCTTGTTTGCATCTACTTAGTTGTCATTTAAGAATGAGGTCGTTTAGATGACGGTGCTGAGTTTTCTATACATTTAAGCTGGGAAGTGTCCTCCCTTGTAACGATGGGCCATCAGTGCTTAAAAGTTCTTTTAACCTTCGGTTTGCGGTGATAATACCAGCTACAAAAAACTGGAGTTCAAAACTTTTCTTCACGATCAAGGAGAACAGAAAATCCGGTAGCAGTTGTTGTAATGATTTGGTAATTCCAAAGAGGTATTAGCAAACCTCACCTGTTCCACAATCTTGAATGTCCTGTCTTTTGAGTCATTTTTAGGCTTACTGCCTTCTTGATTAAATTTTATTATAGTCGGATGCTCAAGTTAGAGTTCCTTTCATATTATCGTAGTAGTACTGACTGGATT